CCCGGCCCCCCGCCACTGGTGTTTTTGTCCCAACCCCACTGTGCCATCGCGACCCCTTGTGGGCCCGGAGGCCCCTTGGGAGGCCATGCCTCCCTTTCCTGGTGACCCAGGCGCTGTATCGAGCCGCTCGCTTCAGACTGGAGTGGGATTCCGAGGGCAAACCCTTTCCCTTGCAGCCCAGTGCTGTGCGGCTTCAGTCCAGAATGTAAACACTGAGCCGCAGTTTACTCCGGGAGCGGCCCGGCATTGCGCGGGGTTCGGTGTGTTGGAGGCCGCTCGCTTTTCAGACCGTGCACGAATCCTCAGTCTGTCGTGCTTTCTAATTCGCTTATTAAGATCTTCCAAGTGAGGCAATTGTAGGTGGTGGTTGTTTTCGCCTGTGCTGCGTTTGGTTTGCAGCGTCGGGAAATAGTGATGCTCTTTGCTAATTTCGACTTTGTCACTTGGCTCCTCACTTGTTGACAAGTCAGACTGTGAAGTAGGACCCCAGGATAGTCACAGCAAACATTTAGCATGCCGCGGAGCACTTTTTTGCCTGATTCCGTTGTGCCATTATAACAAGGCTTACCTTTTTAATGGCTAAGTTTCTGTGTGGTTGAAAAAAATATTTGGAAACCATCCCATTCCAAAATACGAGGCGAACCCACGGACGACAGAAATTTTATATCACCTTTCAGAACGCAACAGAGTCCGGGACAGGGACATCAACCTGGTAATAGAGGACTTAAAACAGAAAGCAAACGAGTATGAATCAGAAGGTGAGTTAAGTCTAGAGTTTTGAAAGAGGTAGTAAGGTAACTAAATTTTACAACACTCCAGTGTCTAAGATTAAGGTAGACAACTTGTATTATCATCGTCATTATTATTTTAGACAATTGACTTCTGCTCTATTATAGTAACTTCCAGATTAGAAATTCCTCTGTAGTATGTTTTATTGGTTCTCTGCTAGTTAAAACAGTGAATCCGGAAAGAGAATTAAATTTGCTGGGGCGGGGGTTGGTAGAGGAATGCCTTTAATCCCAGAGCTTTATAGAGTCAGAGGCAGGAGGATATTTGTGAGTTCAAGGTCAGCCTGGGCTGCATAGTGAGTTCCTGTCTCAAAAAACAAAACAAAACAAAACAAAAGCTTATTAGCCTAACAAGAAAGATACTTGTATTTTTTTTTCCCCTTACATAGCTTGCAGGATGCCAGAGGTAGCAGCCAAGAAGTGTGAGACTTGGACTGTGTATCAGGGAACTGCTTTAAAATTTCCTACTGAACCAGGCATGATGGTGCAAGCTTGTAATGCCAGCATTCAGAAGGCAGAAGCAGGAGGGTTGTCATGAGTACAGTGTCAGCTTGGATCACATAGCCAGACTCTAAAACAAGTTTTTTTTTTTTTCCCCTCATTTTTGTAGGTCATACGTATAGTGTGAAAAAAAATGAAGAGTGAGAGCAGGGTACGGAACCAAAGGGAATGACAAAAGTCCTGGGGTGCTCCTCCCACTCTAGGGTTCCTTCATACTTTTTCTTAATAAATGTATGCCCATTCTACTTAAACAAACAAACAAAAAAAACATTTGAGGATGACGTACATCAAACAGAGGAAATGAGATCTGATTGCCATACCTTTAACCAAGTGGAGGGTGTTTGTTATATAAAATTTTGAAAAAAATTTTAGATTTATTTTATGTGTATGAGTGTTTTGTCTGTGTGGATTTATATGCACCCTGTGCATGTCTGGTGTTTGTAGAGGTCTAAAGAGGGTGTTGGATCCCCAGGAACTGTAATTAAGTGTGATTGTGAGTCACTATGTGGGTCCTGGGAACTGGTCCTAGGTCCTCTACAAGGACAAGTGCTCTAGTGGAGCAGTCCTAGAACTTGGGAGTTCAAATCCAGCCTGGCCTAGATAGAGAGTTCCAAAACAACCAGAGCTACATAGAGATACCCTTTCTCAAAACAAACAAACAAAAAGCAACAACAAAAAACCAAACATCTCTCCAGACCCTATATGATACTATGAATACAGTGCAATTATATTTAATTCTAATGCATATATACTTTTTTCAATAGTCTTTTAAAATTAGCTCAAGTGTGTTTTGTGTGCCATCTTAATGGTGTAGAATACTTCCACAATGGAGAACAGAGCAATTCCATCACCACAAATAAACACCCATGTTTACTCCTTTTATTTGGATTCTCATACATATGGTCTTTTTTTTTTTTTTTTAAGATTTTTATTTATTTATTATGTATACAACATTCTGCTTCCATGTATATCTGCATACCAGAAGAGGGCACCAGATCTCATAACGGGTGGTTGTGAGCCACCATGTGGTTGCTGGGAATTGAACTCAGGATCTCTGGAAGAGCAGTCAGTGCTATTAACCTCTGAGCCATCTCTCCAGCCCACATATGGTCTTTTAAAAGTAGATTTTGGGGTTTTTTTAAAGTATATTTCCAGAAACTTTCTTTTTTATAATTCTATTTATTTTTAGATATTTTTTGTTGTTTTTTTGGACAGGGTTTCTCTGTGTAACAGCCCTGGCTGTCCTGGAACTTGCTTTGTAGACTAGGCTGGCCTCCAACTCACAGAGATCCATCTAGAGTGCTAGAATTAAAGGTATGGGCCACTGCCATTCAGCTAAATTACGCTTGTGGATATGGTGGCATCCATCTTTAGTCCTAGCATTCAGGAGATAGGGAGCAGGCAGATCTCTGAGTTCAAGGTCATCATGGTCTACGTAATAAATTACAGGTTTATACAGTGAGACCCTGTTTTATGTTGTTTTTAAATTTCATTTACTGCTTTTGAGGGGTGGATACATGAGTGTGTGGAAGTCAGAGGACAACTCGTAGGACTCAGTTCTGTGTTCCACCATGTGGATTCTGGGGATTGAACAAGTTGGTTCCCTCCATAGGCACCTGTGTTCAAAGTGCACAGACACAGAAACACATAATTAAAAACAATAGTAGCAGTTATTATTATTGTTGTTGTTGCTATTGTTATTGAGATAGGGTTTTTTTGTATAGCCCTGGCTCTTTTGGAACTCTCCATGTAGATCAGGTTAGCCTGGAAATCAGAGGTGCCCCATTTTGGTTTTGGTTGATTCTGGGTGCCCCTGCCTCTTGATTAAAGGCTTTCACTACCATGCCTGGCTCAAATAAATCTTAGACAAACAAACAAAAAAATCTATAATAAAAGTTTAAAAAACAAAAAGGACAAAACATCTGAGATAATCATGACATGTTTTTATCATTTCAGCCAAACATCTTCAAGATTTTCTTATGGAGAGTGTGAATTTTTCCCCTGCCAATCTGTCTAACACTGGTTCCAGGTTTCTGAGTGCATTGGTTGACAGTGCAATCACCCTGGAAACAAAGGACACTTCACTAGCAAGGTAATTATTCTAATGGTTTTAGTCTGTGTCCCCATAAGGAGAATATGCTATAAGGCTCTGATCTAAGATTTTTTTTGGTTCTCACAGTAATTCTGCATAGAAAATTAGCAATAAGAGCAAAAGTACTGAGGTGGTTGTTTTGTTTGTTTGGTAGATTGGTTTGGGTGGGTTTGTTGTTGATGTGTGTGTGTGTGTGTGTGTGTGTGTGTGTGGGTGC